ATAATATAAATTATATGAATATAAATATATACACATGTAAATATTTTCAAAATATATACTGTATGTGTGTGGGTTTATAAATACATAATATACACAGTACACTAGGGCTGTCAAAATGGCTGAAAAACTAAATTCGAATTTTGTACTTAAATATGATCAAAATTCGAATTATATTCAAATTTAAAATGCATAATTTCAGTTAGGGTGAAGAAAAGCTTTTGGCTTCTCTTCTGAGGCCACAAGAGGGCGCATCGAGCAAAATATTACTAATGCACGTATCTTCAAAGATAACATGACTATCTGTTCAAAGATAACATGACTATCCCCGCCATAAAGTCTCGAGATGTTTTTTCAAAGTTGGACTTGCATTAATTTTACATGGCTTTCTAGTGTATAAATGACATCCTTTGTGCGAGATGCGAGTGTAAAGGTGATATATGTCCCTCTAGAAAATGTGCGAAATATGCGTTCTGTGTGAACGGCTTGGTTTCAGTTTTGACGTAAACAACATCTTCTCCGCATTGATGTTCTCTTTTCCCGCAATATTTGTAATTGTTGCAACCCCAAAAGGGTCACTACAAATAAGGAGAAGACGAGTGCATTTGCGTTGAAAAACATTTAAATTTATTTAACCGTCAGACCTAAATGGATCATTATTGAACCCATCTTGGTCCAGAAAGACATGAAATACCTCCACCCACCGGAGAGGATTCCACACATTTAGTAGTTGCAGCTGATCGATTGGCAGTGAGCGCAACCACACATGCTGGAAAAACATCAGGTAGAATCTGCACACTCTCATCAATCTCTTCAGCGGACATAGGTTTAGATGAAACAATTAAAGGTGGCGGCAACTCACTCCAAACCCGTCCTCCAGCCAGATTGTTTCCCAAAATAACAGAAACTCCTTCTACTGGAAGAGCTGGTCTCACTCCCAATTCAACCTGTCCTTGAATTAAATTGGAATACAAAAGAACCCTATGACATTTTAGTTAATCCAATTCCACAGATTAACAGCGAATCCCCAGTAAAAGTTTCATTTGTAAAAGGTAATACAGACTCCAAAATGAATGAGGCAGATGCGCCAGTGTCCCGATGAATTTTCACTGGAACTCTCTCACCCTTTGGGAGAGACACAAAACCATCAGAGACAAAAGGTGAAAAATTGGAATTCAAACAGGCTGTTTCGTTCAGTTCTCTACCACTCGCCGTAAAACAAGAGGGAATCAAGCCACCAGCTATGGGAACAGAAGCAGCCAACGCTGTAGGCTTTGCCAATGTATAACAGTTTCGACCTTTTGCTTGAAGTACTGGACAATCTTTTTTGCAGTGCCTGTGACCTAAACAATAATTACAGATTAAAGCCGAATCAGCTTTATCAGAAAACGTGTAACGTGTGGCAGTCGACATATTGGAAGGTTGCATGAAACAAGATGTACCCTTTTCACTGCATTCATCTTTCAAGCGGCTAGCATCAACACACGATTTATGTATCAAATCATATTCATCCGCTAAAGCTGCTGCTTCCGCTGCAGTAGATACGTTACCCTCAGCAATATAAATAGCGGTTTGATTTGGCAATGTGTTCTTAAACTGCTGCAAAACAATTAAATCAACAAGATCTTTATATGATTGGACAGCCGAGGCACTACACCAACGCGTAAAAAACAACTCCAATTCACTCGCCAATTCCGTATGCGTTTGAGTAGAACGTTTTTTTGGCGATACGCCTCTGGCACCAATTCATATGCCTTAAGAACCGCACTTTTAACTTTATCATAATTTTGACTATCAGCCCATCTTAAAACAGAATAAGCTTTCTGCGCCTTGCCAGTCAGAACTCATTGTAACATTATGGAGCGTTCAGCTTCGGGCCAATTTTGTTTGTCTGCAACTCGTTCGAATAATACGAAAAAGGTAATCAAAGGCATCAACCGCAAATTCACTGCAACATTAAAGTTAGCAGAAAGCGGCCCACTCTCTGCCCCCTCATACAAGTCGCCATCACTCATCACCGTTTTTACCTTTCCTTCTTTCATAAGGTCCAAACGTTGTTGTTGTAGATCTAATTTTCTAAGGCCTGCTGTGCCAATACGGTCTCTTGTTCTAATTTTCGTTTCTCGGTTTCCATGTTAAACTCTAATTTACGATGTTCCAATTGAAGAAGTGTTAACTATCTTTGTTGCTCAAAAGTCAAAGTTACAGAAGAAGGCACACTAGTCGGCAACCCTATCAATGCCGCAGATGACATAATTCCTTTATTTATAAGAGCCACTTTTACAACAGTTGGAATAGTTTCTTTCCATTTTTTTATCATTCGTAGAAAGGACAATATCATAATGTGTTGCAATTTCAATCAATTGATCTTTCGTTAACGGATTTAAAACTTGCTCAGATGGATTTTCAAAAAATGCACTTATTTCGATTGATGTCATATTTAATAATTCAGCAATTTCAATCAATGATTCTATACAAAACTCTTTTAAAACTCAAATCCTTACCTTCACAGCTGTCAAAACACGAAAAGAAAAAAAAAAGGAAGAGAGAGAGAGAAAAAAAAATGCCCTGAATATTAAGTTTCACAGCCTACCTATACATAAACCTAACTAAGTAGACCCTAATCTTAAAGCATACAGTGGCGGGTTTTTATGCACCAAATACCATAAGCTGAGATGAACAACCAATTAAATCGGCAATTCCCTCAAACCTCGGCGTGCTCCTGAGACTCAGCTCCAACCACCGATCTGCTCAAAAATTTGACATACACCAAAAGGACATGCCGCTTAATCCTACCAGCGAATCCAATCCCAGGGCTTTCCAAAAATGAAAGACAAGTGCATTTGCGTTGAAAAACATTTACATTTATTTAACCGTCAGACCTAAATGGATCATTATTGAACCCGACTTGGTCCAGAAAGACAGGGCACAAAATACCGGAGAGCCGACACTGGATCCAACCAAGAGCACACTGATCCGTCGAGCAAAGAGATGTTTTATAGAGGATCAACCACCTGCGCACCAGTGTTCCTAATCACGCAGCAATCAGCCGGACACCTGCAAAGACACAGACCCAAACAAGAAACGACCGAAAGTGTCGTCACATAATTAACAACGCAGCAGCGCCGCATCTAGTGGCTTCAACTGGATAGGCTACCAAAAACATTATAATACAATGACACTTACATTGTCATCGCATCTCGTGCGCCGCTGATAAGGCTGCCTCCTTAATGCACACCTATAATTCGAATGCAATTTTTTTGCATTCAAATATGGATTTTTATTTTAAATTCGACGAATATTCGAAATTTGAAAAAAAAAATTTGACAGCTCTACAGTACACACACACATATTATGTAAACAAAAAAAATAATTTTGAATGCGATTAATCGTTTGACTTATCTTTCAAAAAAGAAAAAACTTACTGACCCCAAAAGGAAATGAATTTGTTGTCAGTGTTCAGTTAGATTGTCTGGAAGATTGCAGCTGATGTGGTGAATGATGATGTCAATTATGTGATTGACGTGTGGTGTGTGACAGATCGCGGGATACGTGAACCAGCCCATGGTGGACGTGTCCATTCTGCAGCGCTCACTGGCCATCCTGGAGAGCATGGTGCTGAACAGCCACAGCCTGTACCAGCGGGTGGCGCAGGAGACCCCTGTGGCACAGCTCATCGCACACCTGCAAGTGTGAGCACATACACGCACACACACACGCACACACTCGCCGCAGCGCAGGTCACGTGCCTCTCTCCTGCACGCACACACACACACACACACACTCACGTACTGACAGGAGGACAGGGCCGCGTCTGTGACTGGACACCTAGAGTAAAACATCACAGGACTGTTAAAGGGATCATGAAATGCAGTTTCTCAATGTTAGTTTATATATCCAATATTGATAAATTACCATTTTCCATTCTCAATTTCACTCTGTGAAATGACTCCATTGCAGAAACGGAAGTAAACGGTCACTGCTGTGATTGGCTAACCTCGTCACACCGCATCCACGCTCTGTTTTATAGTGTGTCGTGTGTTTTGATACTTGAGATGGCAAGCACTGTGAGAGAGCTTTGCGTGTTTGAGCCAGAGACCGAAGAAAAACGTCAGCAACAGTCTGTTTCAGCATTCTAATTGCTTAACTTTTAGCATATTGTTTTAAAAGTGCATGTGTTGGAATGTACTGATTTTATTAGCAGCACTCATACAGTGATACGCTTGGTGACTTAATAGTGTTAAATGTTCTGCATGTCCCCTGAGGACAAAATGCATGGCACTGCCGTATCGTTCAATAAAAGATGTTTAAAAAGTGGCAGCATGTGTAATAATAATTCAGGAAACAGTGAGTTGTGAAGTTGCTCAGGAGTGTCATTAAAAATAAACTTCAGCCATGAATTTGTAATGCTAGGAAAGCCATGCAAAGATCTTGGAGGCGCAGTTTCTTTACATCCACTGACAGGACAACGTCAGCATTATATGTTCCCTGTTTGTGGTCTGAGGACTTTTGTTATCCTTACGAAAATCAACCCTGGATTTATTTTAGTAGCCATGGTTTTTTTGGCGTATTGATGACCATTTGTGTAACCACAGTTCCACTACAAATGCCATGGTTAAACTATGGTTAATGTAGCAAAGTCACGGTTAATTTCCAAAAGGGATGCTTTCTGTTTGCTGTTCTGTTTCAGTTTGTAGTCTTTCTTGTAATTTTGTTTATCAGGTGGGTCAGAGTTGGGTATAATGCATTACACAGTAACGTTACTGTATTCTAATGACTTTTTCTGGTAACGCAGCAATGTAATGCATTACATTTTACATTTATGTAACTTGATTACAGTTACTAAAGTCAATAAAAGTATGTTACTCCAGTTACAAATGCAGTGTTAAAAAATAAGAAGTAAAAATCATGTTTTGCGCGTCAGTATACCCTTTAATAAATCACCAGAGAATGCGAGCTAAAATGCAGACGAGTCCTACAACATTTAGATGCAATGAACGGTTGCCTATCATATTTCAAAATGTTGCACTCGATTTCACATATTTCAGTCTGGCTTTATAATTTGGGAAAAGTTCAACAAGTGAAGGTGTACAAGTTTATGTCACAATAACACTAATATAAGTAAAAATAAATGACAAATCAGAATGAGATCCATTAAGCTGCGTCGCATCGCATTCTTCTTTGTTGTTATTGCTTTGTTTTTAAGTTTTGTTGATATTGCGGGCGTATACAAATAATACTTGTGTAATTTTTCAGTCAATATTAAATTAATGAAAGAACTATGAGTTTTACTTTGTAGTGTATTTTTTAGGTTTGATCATTTGAAAAGTAAACTTGAAAGTAACTTGACAGTAAAGTAATTAGTAATCCGATTACTTTTTAAATGTAGTAATCAGTAATGTAATCAAATTCAAATTTTAAAGAAGTAATTAGTCATTTAATTTGTAGTGCATTACTTTTTTGAGTAACTTACCCAACACCGAAGTGGGTCTTGTTAGATTTTTAACCTATATATGTGTATATAGCCCTTGTTGCTTTGTCAGTTGTTGTATGTAAAGGTTGCTGTTGTTCCTGTTTGCTTTGTTCTTGCTCTCTGTTTTCTTGGTTGCCGTTTTGTTTCTTTTGTTGCATCTCTGTCTGTCTTCGTCAGGTCCCCGCACATTAGAGTTTGACGATGTTACTCGACATTTTTATCCAACAGCAGTATCGCTCCTGTGATTGATAAACAGTCAGGAGTTGTTCATAACACTCCTGCTTGATTGCATACGACAGTGACGCATGTTAAGTATTTGATTTCATATGTGACCCTGGAGCACAAAACCAGTCTTAAGTTGCTGGGGTATATTTGTAGCGATAGCCAAAAAAACATTGTATGGGTCAAAATTATCGATTTTTCTTTTATGCCAAAAATCATTAGGATATTAAGTAAAGATCATGTTCCATGAAGATATTTTGTACATTTCCTACCATAAATATATCAAAACTTAATTTTTGATTAGTATTAGATTTATGCATTTTTTTGCACCCTCAGATTCCAGATTTTCAAAGAGTTGTATCTCGGCCAAATATTGTCATATCATAACAAACCATGCATCAATGGAAAGCTTATTTATTCAGCTTTCAGATGGTATATAAATCTCAATTTCAAAAAATGTACCCTTATGACTGGTTTTGTGGTCCAGGGTCACAAATCTGGGCGTTTCAGAAGGGTAGAACGCAATCATTCATATTTTTACCGCGGAGTTGAAGAGTTACGTCCTATGGGTAAATATCAAGAACATTTTGATTCTCTATTTCATGACCCTTTTAATTATTTTCCTCAAGAGCTCATCACTCAAAACTGTGTAATTGTATTGTACCTTCAGTGATGGTGGCGGTTGAACGTGGCCCTCTCGTCTCCTGAGGTCGAGCTCCAGTCGGCTGGAGACATGAGAGAGTGACATATGGTCTAGAGTCCAGAAGTGTTGGAATTCAAGAGCAAGATACCTCTAACTGTGTGTGTGTACGATCATCCCTGCAGGTCCAATCAGGAGATCCAGACGTACGCCATTGCCCTCATCAACGCCCTGTTCCTCAAAACCCCAGAGGACAGACGCCAGGTGCACACACACACAAAACCAACTCACTGCTGCTTGAAAGGTCCAATCACATCAGGAATGACACAAACCTGAGCGATGTGTTCCCAGACCATCATTCACAAGTGTAACAGATCTATTAACATGTCAAAGTAACAAATTTGTAGCATTCAGTGAGTCTGTTTATAATAGTCAGACATTTCAAACAGCAAAAAACAGAAGTGTAGGAAACCGTCACACAAAGAAAAAGCAAAACCAAAGTGTAGTTACTTATTCTTTTGTATACAACAGTCCTCATATCTTATTGGTCAAGCAGCATTTAATTAGTCCTGATATTACAGTCAATATTTGTTCAAAACTTGAGGTTCATTCAGGAATGAAACAATTGTGACTTTCTTCATCAATCAATGTGTTGGATGCTCGCAAAACTCAATAGTCTGTTGTGTATTTGTTGCCGTGGTTCTGTCTGTGCTGTGTGTTTGTGGTGATAGTCTGGCTCAGACATTCACAGACCAGCTGATGTGTGTGTTTATGGCAGGAGATGGCGAGTACACTGGCTCAGAAACACCTCCGTGGCATCATACTCAATGTAAGTGTAAATCCATACGTAATGCCATCAGATTGCATTTGTTACTGGTATCCTATTACTTGCTAAACACTTTCAGACAGAGTTGCTAAATGTTTCTGCTAATGAGGAACTGCAGATTCAGAGCACACAGATCCAGAAGTGATGGTGTCTTACTTAAAAACCTCAGTAAATCACCTTGCATGATTCATTTAAATGCTCTCCTCCTGTAAATGTTATGTGTGATGCGGAAACTCCTGCAAATGCATACGCAGTAAGGTCAGCAGCAAAAAGTATGCCTAGGCCTGTCGCAATAATCAATATATCGATTATATACCCATTATATTTACTTAAAAATTAATGTCACCGTGTTTTGTACATTCCACTTGCACCTGTGTCTTTTGCAGCTTCTCGTACATAATGAAAAGATGCTTCTACAAAAGGTTTCATCTGCAGATATGGTCTTGTTTAGGGATCTGTGCCTTTGTGCATACGGACATCTGACTGCTGAGTAGTGATTGTGTTTCTCAGCAATAGTGTGCACCCTTCATTTACAGAGAAAAGAAGGTCAGGGAAAAATCTGCAGATGGAAAAATCTCCATAAAATCTCTAACATTTTGTTAGAAAATGTTTATTTATAATTTATTCAGGTTTTTTAAGGTATCTAAAATGTTATACTTAATTTCCATGATCTAAATATTCTTAAAAATTAAAAGTTTGTTGTCATTTGGAAGTGTGTAGGCCCTCTTGCATTATTATTATGCTGTTACATTATGATTATATATTCTGTGGCATAAAATGGTCTTTAAAATGACAATAATATCGCTTATCGCAATTATTTCTGGGGCAATATATCGCACAACAAAAAGTTGTTTTCGTGACAGGCCTAAGTATGGCCAAAGCTTTTCATGGCTAATGTTTCACTGCATGTTTTTTAGTAAATCGTGACAGTTTTTTCCCCCCCATCAATGCTCAATGAGCATCTTTTGATGGAATACAGATCAGATCTGTCTTCTCCACAGAACGTATGCCCAGTAGTGTGTGTATAGAAACATCAGTTTATAGTTCTTCAGGAGCAGTGTGATAATGAGAGTGTTGTTTTAGGAAACACCCCTGCGAGTAACAGCAGTGATGGTCTGTCCTTTTAAATTTGCCTTCTAGCACATCATCCGAGGGAATCGACCGGTCAAAGCTGAAATGGCACATCAGCTGTACGTGCTTCAGGTTTTGACCTTCAACCTTCTGGAGGAACACATGATGACCAAAATGGACCCAAATGACCAGGCAAGTGATTGACAATTGCTTTAAGACTGAAAATGTTTGACTTGACATTTAGAGAGGGAGCAGAATGTATGGTTCAAGTGAATAAATGTATTTATTGGGTTGACAGTTGAATTAATGCAGAGCGTCAAGTGTTAAGTATTTGCCGAGTGAAACATAAATAGATATTTTATTTATTTATACAATAATTTACTGATAATAATTGTTTAACTTAATATAATAACTAATACTTTTGACTCATCTGTTTTCTTAAAAATGGTTTAAATGCTGAAATGTAAAGTTTATCATTTTATATAACTTTTTGTTTTTGTGAAAACTTGTATCTGAACTTTAAGTTATGCTTTTTACAGTAATTTTACAGTTTAATATGGTACTATAGACATTGCCCTACCCCGCTCATATGGTATAAATTTTATTTGTGCATGTCTTAAAAAGGTCTTAAATTTTAGCTTAAAAATCCTACAGAAACCCTGTAAATGCCATGCTATGAATGCCATCAAACAGGAAGTTGTTGTAACTAGGGCTGTCGCGGTGAGGGAATTTACCTCGCTGTGATTTTGAGTGGCTCAATAGCGCGATAAGCGGTATTATCGCCATATATATATATGCATAGGCGATAGTTTTGAACACTGGCTGGTTATGTACTTGCTCAAATATTGATTTCGGGTCATTTTTAACCAAAAAAAGTTACGGACTGCAGCTTTACGTGCAAATCTACGGAGCCTCTGTACAAATCAGCATGGTACACATTATGTTATCAATACTAACTTGGTTAATATTCAGTCCACATGCATGAAGTGTAAAACGAGAAGGGCATAACCTTATGAAAAAAGATAACACGCAAAAATCATGGTTGCTGCGGTTCTTGCATTCCTCTGCGGTTTGCTGGTCAACAGCGCGGTATTGCGATATTGCGGTTATCGCGACAGCCCTAGTTGTAACTAATGCATACAATGTCCAATCTGCCTCAAACTTCACATGTTTGATAAGAGTCCTGGCCTGAAGACATCTACATGATCATATTCAGTTATAGTCATAGCGCCACCAACTGGCAACAGGAAGTGACTTGTTTGACACTAACTTAAACATGCAGTGTCTGATCTGCCCTAAACTTGACATGCTTGATAAGAGTTCTGGCCTGAAAACATTTGCATGCCAATATTCAGTTATAATTTATAGCGCCACCTATTGGCAACAGGAAATGTCATGTTTTACACTAACTCAAACATACCATGTTCAATCTGCACCAGACTTCACAGATTTGATAAAAGTCCTGGTCTAGAGACATCTACATTCCAACATTCAGTTACAGTCATAGCGCCACCAGCTGGCAGTAGGAAGTTTGGCACATATAAATGACTTTGACATATTCCTCCTATATTTATCACTTTAAATTCATATTGCCCACCGTTAGCTGTTTTCCTAAAGCCACCGAGTGGCGGTGAGCCCAGGTGTGAGGGCCCTTTCATTGCTGCTTGCAGCTTTAATATTCTTGTTATATTCTTACCTCTCTTATATTTAGACACAAAGAGATATCATCTTTGAACTCAGACGAATTGCGTTTGATGGAGACAATGATCCCAGTGGAACAGAAAAGAGGAAAGCCATCTACACTAAAGACTACAAGATGCTGGGCTTCACTGTGAGTGATGAGTGTTTGCTCATGTAATAACCTGTGATCATTTCAAAATGTAGTGATGTGCTGATGTGTGTGATGTGATTGGTTAACATTAGAACTGCCAGAGGTCGCTGTATACCTAAAAGTGCCAGCGGGTAAATTTTACCCACGCACATGGCAACTGTATTTATATGGCTAAATAACATATTATTTTACTGTATTATGCTACTGTCTTCACAAAGAAGTGTCTAGAGTCATGAAATGATTGTCTAGTCATCAACTATAGTTTTATTCTGCTGTTTTATGTTCAAGACTTTTTAATGCAGGCTACACTAATCCATAACGGTCAGTAGCCTAAGCTAAAAAAAAAAAGTCTGCACTGACAACGGAAATTAGAAGGTAGTAGCCTAAATATTTGGGTGGTTTAATATTATAATACAATGTCATTAATCAATATATTAAGACAACCCATGCTATGAATGACTAAAACAGCCTATAGACAATAATGAGCAATAATAATTCACCACACTGCATATGATGATGCAATGAAAAATTCAAGTGCACAGCTTCACCTAAATATGTATTAATTTGTTTAGTTATATAATTTATAGTTTGAGTAAGAGAACAACATCATTAAACTTTGGGTAATCAAAAAAAAATGTTTTATTTATTATATAGATCGGATTTATTTTTTAGTCATTTTGACTTTATTTATGAAACTCATAACTGCTAAATCAAAATATACCTAGAAAAAAAGCCTAGAAATGTACAATGTTCAAACATAAGCGGAAAGAAAATGACAGCACGAAAATACATGCGTTATATAGCGGGTAAATTTGACGTGTGATGTGATGGTTTGATGATGATTGGTGATAGTCATGTGATGTGATGGTTTGATGATGATTGGTGATAGATTGGGGATAGTCATGTGATGATATGTGTGATGTGATGGTTTGATGATGATTGGTGATAGTCATGTGATGGTTTGATGATGATTGGTGATAGTCATGTGATGATATGTGTGATGTGATGGTTTGATGATGATTGGTGATAGTCATGTGATGATATGTGTGATGTGATGGTTTGATGAAGATTGGTGATAGTCATGTAATGATGTGTGTGTGATGCGATGGTTTGATGATGATTGGTGATAGTCATGTGATGATATGTGTGATGTGATGGTTTGACGATGACTAGTGAAGTTGATGTGCTGATGTGATGGTTTGATAATGATTGGTGATAGCCATGTGCTGATGTGTGCATTGTGTTTTGTGCTCAGAATCCTGTGAATCCTGCAATGGATTTCACTCAGACACCCCCGGGAATGTTGGCACTAGACAACATGCTTTACCTTGCCAAAGTGCATCAGGACACATATATCAGAGTAAGAACACACATCCATAACTCTCATCTCTTTTGTTTTCTATGTATTTTCTCAAGCACAGTGTCCTCTTTGTAATTGTTGAGTGAAAGTAATTATGTAAAACAGGGTCAGCTATAATAATTACACTACAATAATAATAATACATTATAATATTGGGTTATTCTCCCAGATGACCGTATATATATCTTGAATCACTTTTCAAAGAACAAAAGTTCATTGATTATCCTTTCTTTTCAGTGGAACATGTAGTGTGGTGCTGCTCATGCGCTTGTGTCTTTTGTGATCCACTATCCCCTTCCTCTTCTCCCTTCTGTTTCCTATGTCCCCTTTCACCTTTTCTATTGATAAAAACATAATAATAAAATAGCATAAAAATGATCCACATGTCAGTGGCCTATACATACTGTGGTTTTGTTTTGCAGATTGTTCTAGAAAACTGCAGTCGAGAAGATAAACATGAGTGTCCATTTGGCCGCTCTGCCATTGAGCTGACGCGCATGCTGTGTGATATTCTCCAGGTTGGAGAACTGCGTAAGTATTCTGCGATCTTTTCGATTCCTCAGTTCACTGATGAATGAGTTGGACTTTGTTCGGAGGCTCAATTACAGCAGCTTTAGATCCAGAGCGATTTCCACCTGAAAATCATTATTATTCTCTCATCATTCACTCATCCTACAGACATTATTGCTGTAATCCAGAGTAGGGGTATGCGGTATTGACAATAAATTATATCTCGATATTTGCTGTGATTTTATCGATAATGATAAATAGACAATATTTTGCTGATTGTGCTGATATCTTAAAGACTACCATTGACAGCTGACTCCTAAAGTTTTGATATTCTTCATATTCTGTGTGGTGGTCAGTTCACAGCAGTGATAAAAATTAATATTTTCCAATAAGTTGATTTTTAGCTTTTATGGGCATTTTTACCTTTATAAAACTATTTGTTTCTAAAAGTGTGCATCATCTTTTTAGTCAAATTCTTACATTATTTAGTCAATTAGAATTATAAGACATTTGGACTCTTACCAAGCAAATGAAATCAGTATCAACAAAATTAATCTTTGCAATGCAGAGGAAACACAGAAGCTGTGGCATTAGATGTATTTACACACGGTTTAATGCAGCTTAGACATGTGATGCTGTAACCTGCCGTTACAATGCATAAATAATGTTTTGATATTTTAAACATTAAACCTTGAGTACTGATGTTTGAAATTATTTAAAAAATGAAAAGATACAGTGGCATGCGAAAGTTTGGGCACCCCTTGTCAAACTTTCTGTTAATGTGAACAGTTAAGCAAGTGGAAGATGAAATGATCTCCAAAAGGCATAATGTTACAGATGACACATTCCCTTTATAGTCTATTTTAAACAAAATAATTTTTTTATTTTCATCTTTTACATTTTCAAAATAACAGATAAGGAAAAGGGCCCGGAGCAAAAGTTTGGACACCCTGCATAGTTAGTACCTAGAAGCACCCCCTTTGGCAAGTATCACAGCTTGTAAACGCTTTTTGTAGCCAGCCAAGTGTCTTTCAGTTCTTGTTTGAGGGATTTTCGCCCATTCTTCCTTTCAACAGTCTTCTAGTGCTGTGAGATTCCTGGGCCGTCTTGCATGCACTGCTCTTTTGAGGTCTGTCCACAGATTTTCAATGAGGTTTAGGTCAGGAGACTGTGAGGGCCATGGCAAAACCTTCAGCTTGCGCCTCTTGAGGTAGTCCATCATGGATTTCGAGGTGTGGTTAGGATCATTTTCCATTTGTAGAAGCCATCCTCTTTTCAACTTCAGCTTTTTTACAGACGGTGTTTAATTTGCTTCCAGAATTTGTTGGAATTTAATTGAATCCATTCTTCCCTCTATCTGTGAAATGTTCCTCATGCCATTGGCTGCAATACAACCCCAAAGCATGATAGATCCTCCCCCATGCTTAACAGTTGGACTGGTGTTCTTATCATGAAATTCCGTGCCCCTTGTTCTCCAAACATACCTTTGCACATTGCGGCCAAAGAGTTCTATTTTAACCTCGTCGGTCCACAGGACTTCTTTCCAAAATGCATCAGGCTTGTGTAAAAGTTATTTTGCAAAATTCAGGCGCTGAATTTTGTGGTGAGGACGCAGGAGAGGTTTTCTTCTGATGACTCGTCCATGAAGGCCATGTTTGTGCAACTCCAGAGTCTGCCAAATCTCCCTGGACATCTTTTGCAGTCAAACGGGGGTTCTGGCTTTTCTAGCAATCCTACGAGCAGTTCTCTCTGATATTTCTCTTGGTCTTCCAGACCTTATCTTGACCTCCACTGTTCCTGTTAACTGCCATTTCTTAATTACTTTCTGAACTGAGGAAATTGGTACCTGAAAACACTTTGCTATCTTCTTAGAGCCTTCTCCTGCTTTGTGGGCGTCAATCATTTTCATTTTCAGAGTGCTAGGCATCTGCTTAGAAGAACCCATGGCTGCTGATTGTTGGGACAAGGTTAGAGGAGTCTGGGTATTTATAAAGCTTTGAAATTTGCATCTCCTGGCCTTTCCTAACGATGACTGTGAACAAGCCATGACCCTAACAGGCTAACCTTAAGTCTGATACCTTGGTCAAAGTTATCTGAGAGCTCAAGTCTCCTGGGGTTCCCATTCTTTTGCAGGGTGCTGCTTTCCCCTTTTTCACTCAAAAATTGTAGAAAACTAAAACAATACATGGATATTGATTAAAATATTGCAAAAGAGTGTTTCATGTTTAACTTTATGCCTTTTGGAGATCATTTCATCTTCCACTTGCTTAACTGTTCACATTAACAGAAATTTTGACCAGGGGTGCCCAAACTTTCGCATTCCACTGTACTTTAAATGTGAAATTAAAACTGCCAGTAGGTGGCAGAAAGTCACTGTTAATAAGTGAGTCATTGCTATTGAAACAAATAATTTAAACGGGCGATTCATTCAGAAACTAAACACCATCATGTTTCTCGGTGATGCAAAATGGTGCTTTGTTTGGAATTAATTTTGTTGGCGAAATAGAGCAAAAACAGGCAATGTGGTATATAAAACGTTAGTCTTAATATTTACCTCTTTTTAACTGAACTGTTGTATAAAATCAATATCCTACTTTTCATCTGCTATTCTTTAACTATATGAAATTATATAAATACATAAATTTTCTGCTCCCGTATCTTGAATTTTGTGATCATTCTAAATGCATTTTAATAGACTGAATCATGCAGTGAAAGAGCGGACTGTAAATGCGCATGCACATTAGTCTAACCTACTAGTCTTCATCACGCAATGTAAGTGTGTACTCTGTGTTTTGTTTGGCTTTTGCGATATACTCGATAACGTAAAATCGCACATTGTTAAAACAACAATTACGATATTATCGTTAAGGGGGTCTGAATACTTTCCGTACCCACTGTATATCGCACACCGCTAATCCAGAGGTCTTCAACCCTGCTTGTGGGGACCCACTGTCCTGCAGAGTTCAGCTCCCAACCCTAATCAAACACCTGAACCAGTTAGTTAAGCTTTTCAGGATCACTTGAAAATACACAGGCAGGTGTGATGAAGCAGACTGGAAATAAACTTTCCGTGTGAAGCAGGCAAAAGTTTTAATGTCATCCAGTATCCAGTTTTGTTACACTTTTAAGTTGCACTGTGACAAATGTTTCTGTAACGTGTGTGTTGCTGTGATGTACTGTGACAGTCATATAAAGAGAGGCTTGTGGAAATGCGGATGTAAACTTGTCTTGTCTCTGCAGCGAATGAAGGGTGTAACGACTTCCATCCCATGTTTTTTACCCACGAGCATGCTTGGGAAGAGTTTTTCTGCGTCTGCATACAGCTGCTCAATAAGACATGGAAAGAAATGAGGGCCACTGCAGAAGATTTCAACAAGGTGTGTGTTAGTGAGAGTGTCTGCTAGAGGACAGACAGTTTCATGTGCGTGTGTTTGTGTCAGCGAACACTCTGTGTGTGTGTATTTTAGGTGATGACGGTGGTGCGGGAGCAAATCACTAGAGCTCTGGCCATGAAACCGCCGTCTCTGGAGCAGCTGCGGGTCAAACTGCGCAGTCTAAGCTACTCGGAGATCCTGCGTCTGCGTCAGTCAGAGAGAATGAGTCAGGACGACTTCCAGTCGCCTCCTATAATGTGAGTAAAGAGCAACTGCATCAGTAAGCTGTATTCAAGATCAAGGATCTCCTAATCAGTCAATCGTGTAGTTATCAGGGATGTGATTTTTCCGTATTAATACAGATTTCCGTATTTTCGCGTAGATCCAAGGTTTTTTTTGGGTGGGGGTTGGTTACTGCATGATAATTGGAATCGCGCAAATGGCCTGAAGATATTACCTAAATAAACTACGAAAAGATTGTTTTGTAAAACATCATGGACGGAATGGTCCTGAGAGCGCTGCACGAGCTTGCGGCGCCATCTACAGGACAGTTAGAAGTGTTCAAATGATTCAAAGCACCAAATGCGAGTAGAATCAGCGCTGAAACGTGTTACTCGATCCGGTGACTTTTTATGAATGGCGGTGAGAATTTGAGATCGCTGGTTCTTCATAACATTCGCAACGGTTGTGAAGTAATTATATAATAGGCTGTAGTCTGACGTGCTACATGTCTGCTGTTACAGTACTGTTTGTGACAGTACTGTTTTTAGTTTTTATTCACTCCTAGATGCGCTTGGTTTGAGCCACTTTAATTTGCATTTGGGAACGCAACATTCGTCATTAGAAACGTTTATAAATCAAGTTTCAGTGTCACGTAATCCTTCAGAAATAATTCTAATATGCTGATCTGCTGCTCAAGAAACATTTCTCATTATTATCCATGTTAAAAACAGTTTTGCTGCTTAATATTTTTTGTGGAAACAATGATACCACTCAAACATTTGTATAAGATTTCAAATAAATAAAAAAAAAGAGAGAAATTAATCATTTTATTCATCATGCATGAAAGTGATAAAAAGTGAGTAAAGACATTTAAAATGATTTCTATTTAATAAATGCATTAACAAATTTAATTAATATATTTGATAAATGCAAATAAATGTTGTTCATTAAACGTTATATTTATCAAACAATCCTGAAAAATAAAGTGTATCACCATTTCCACACAAAATATTAAGCAGCAAAATTATTTTCAACATAAATAATAATCAGATATGTTTCTTTTAGAGTCAAATAAATTGTAATGATTTCTAAAAGATCACGTGACACTGAAAACTGGAGTAATGAAGAAAATTCTGCTTTGCATCACAGGAATAGCATTACATTTTATAATATATAATATAAAACTTTTTTTTTTAATTTGTAATAATATTTCACAATATTGCTGGGGGTTTTTTTTAACTTTATTTTGATCAAATAAATTCAGCCTTGATGAGCAGAAGATATTTATTTCAAAATCATTCATAACTGTAATGTTTCCAAAATTTTGGCAGGTACTTTAATAATAATAACAATTCTATATACTTTACTATAATATATTATAGTACTTTTATTATAATATATTGTATTATATTGTTATCATGATTATTAAATGCTGCTTTTTATTTTTTACAGGACAATAGTATGTATTAATATAAGATATATCTTTAAATATGCTCAAATATATTATATCTTTAATAATAAGTGCTGGGGACGTGGCTTGTGGGCGTGACTTGGGGGATGGTCAGATTTTCCTTCCTTTTTGTCTCTAGCTGATCACATGCCTGAGTTATAAACCGCTAATGCATTGAGGAAATTAAACCAAATTATAGGTCTTTATGATTTTAAAAGTAAGCATGAAATGGAGCGATGTGGGGTTGGACCTACAACTCTCAACCTGTGATTAGAAGCATAGTTTCTCGATACAGGGTTTCTATGGGTCTTAAAAAGGTCTACCCTTCCACAATGTAAGGCCTTAAAAGGTTTTAAATCAGAGCAGAAAGTATTAAACTCATAGTCATGGCATGAAATCTTGCATGCACTACAAAAATGATGTTCATTCTCAGTGGTTGTGTTTTCCAATTCAAATACCTAAACATCCTTAAATCCAGTGTTGGGGAGTAACAGTTACTGAGAAAAAAATGTGTAATTAAATTACAGTTACTTATGAAAATGGTAACGATTACAAAGGGTGTTACATCTGAATATTTTCTGTAAAAAGCTAGGATATGTTGAATAATATTAATTTGTTGCTTTGCCTGTTTTTGATGTGCACGATCCCTCCAGCCATTTAAAGGCTGCTTAGTAAAGCAATGCTGTTCTGATGCTTCTGACTGGTTCTCTTGTTTGAATTTGCAGCGCACCACGTCTGCCAATTACATCAATCCACATTGCCGCTGAAAGCTTTAGGCTACAACCTGTCTTAAAGGTCCCATGACATGATGTTTTTATATAGGCCTAAGTGGTCCCTAGTATTGTATCTGAAGTCTCTTTCCCGAAATTCAGCCTTGGTGCAGAATTTCAGCCACTACAAGCCAGTCCCACAATGAGCTTTCCTTAGTGCCATTTCTGTGTCTGTAGAGTTAAATGCTAATGAGGAGGAGAGAGGCGGGGCAACTGCCATGCTTCGCTCGTTTGTAAGCCATGATGTCTCTCGAGGAAAAAAATATATTGCGCTCGCCTCGCATGGTAGTTCATTTTCTCATGGGCGGGCCAAATTCTCTGGGCGGGCAAAGCAGAGAAAGGGGAGGTAACCTTTCCCCGTATGACGACATAAAGGGAAGATTCCAGATTGGGCCGTCTGAGCTTTCATTTTCTCAAAGGCGAAGCAGGATACCCAGGGCTCGGTTTACACCTATTGCCATTTCTAGCCACTGGGGGACCATAGGCAGGCTAGGGGAACTCATATTAATGTTAAAAAACCTCATAAAGTGACATTTTCATGCCATGGGACCTTTAAGAGCTGCCACCATGGCGAGTGATAAAAATGTGTTTCAGTGCTGAAAATTTTTAAATAAAAAATCATAACGATTTGAAAGTAAAAAGAAGTCTGATTTTGTGGTGGCTGTGCTTTAAAATTAAAATGCTATAATCTTGAGTTTAGTGTTGAGTGTTACTGCTAGGTTAACCCTGCCTGGTTTAAAAATTTGAAAATTATTAAGAGTTGAAAACATTTGTTAGAAATTTAGAAAAAGTAATTAAAAATGTATCAAATGTAATCAGTTACATTAATGAAATAATTGAAATAGTTACACTATGTATTACATTTTAAATAGGGTAACTTGTAATCTGTAACCGATTACATTTCCAATGTAACCTTCCAACACTGCTTAAATCAAGATATTAGAGATGCAAAATGATGAACAGTCTTAAGTCTTGTTTTCTGCGAAACTGGTCAAAATGAAGTGAGGTTATTCTTAAAACAAGAACAAATATCTGTTAGTGGGTTATGAAAATTACTTAACTGAGTTATTTTTCTGAGACCACTGGCAGATATTTGTTCTTGGTTTAATAAAAAGCTCACTTCATTTTGACCAGTTTTGCAGAAAACAAGACTTATTATCTTCTGTCATTTTGCTTCTCAGGGAAATGGATCTTGATTTAAGAATATTTAGACATCTGCACTGGAAAACAAGGCAAAAGTACTGAGGAGGAGCGACCAACCAATCCAAATGCTCATATGAGTATATCTGAGTTTGAGGATCAGCTGGTCTCAAGTGTGTTTCCTCTTGATTGTCAGTGAGCTGCGTGAGCGGATCCAGCCAGAGATTCTGGAGCTGATCAAACAGCAGCGACTCAATCGTCTGTGTGAGGGAAGTTGCTTTCGCAAACTCGGCAACAGACGGAGACAAGGTGCCGAAAGCTCACATCTGCCCATGACAGCCGCTTCTGCGCATTTCTTCTGTAATGTGAATTTCCTCTTCTAATGATCTTTGGTTCCTCTCACAGAGAAGTTCTGGTTCTGCCGTCTGTCGTTAAATCACAAAGTCCTGCACTACGGAGATCTGGACGAGTCTCCGCAGGGTGAAGTGCCGTTTGAACTGCTCACCGATAAGAGTGAGCGCACTTACGTGACATAAAACCACTGAATATTATTCACATCATGTGTTGCACAGTGTATTCATACTCACTGTCATTGGCCCACAGTTCCCGTGTCGGACATTAAAGCAGTGCTGACGGGGAAAGACTGTCCGCACATGAAGGAGAAGAGCGCACTCAAGCAGAACAAGGTTACTTACTTCACTTACTTCATCTTCTCCAGCGCACTTTTGAGCAGAACTGGTATAGAGGGAGAAAGATCTGACATGACTCTGTTGTTTAATGTCTTTTTCTTTTTCTTTTTTTAAGCTTGTGTCCCTCAAATAAACAATTAATCACTGACGTCATCATCATTATTGAATAATGCATTTATGAAACAAACATGTTAATATGGTAATATTGCATGCATATTTATTTAAATATATATCTGGTTCCTCTCAAGGTTTTACTCCTCTTAAGGAATTGTTTAGTTTATTTTAAAGCAGTACTATCTGTAAAACTGCTATGAAACAGAATGCACAACTCCCAAACCATACACATTCTATATTCTGTTTCTTTGTTATGTATGTATGACTGATGTGTTTGAATGGTGCTGTGTTTGTAGGAAGTGTTAGAGTTGGCATTTTCCGTCCTCTACGATCCTGACGAGGCTCTCAACTTTGTGGCACCCAGCAAATACGAGGCGAGTCTCGAAAACAGTACTTAAATCACAGTTCTGTTAGAAATGCAGAAGTTCAAGGACCCTAAACTATTTATGCGTTGTTAATTAGGGCTGTGAATCAACAAAAAATATTAACATTTTTCCATTAGAAATGTTTGTTTTTTATGTGAGGATCTAATGCCTGTATCACAGGTATCACTAATATGCACCTACACCACAATCTTTGTTCACCCCACTAGTGACATGATGCCAGTGTGTTAATTCTTAAACATTCCCCATCCCTGACAGTTAACCCTGCTGACAAATCCAGCATTGCTGGTCACCAGCATAAGTATGTTTGGCAGGCTGGGACCGGCTTGGAATGCTGGTGTTTTTCTTTTTCTTTTTTTAAGCTTGTGTCCCTCAAATAAACAATTAATCACTGACGTCATCATCATTATTGAATAATGCATTTATGAAACAAACATGTTAATATGGTAATATTGCATGCATATTTATTTAAATATATATCTGGTTCCTCTCAAGGTTTTACTCCTCTTAAGGAATTGTTTAGTTTATTTTAAAGCAGTACTATCTGTAAAACTGCTATGAAACAGAATGCACAACTCCCAAACCATACACATTCTATATTCTGTTTCTTTGTTATGTATGTATGACTGATGTGTTTGAATGGTGCTGTGTTTGTAGGAAGTGTTAGAGTTGGCATTTTCCGTCCTCTACGATCCTGACGAGGCTCTCAACTTTGTGGCACCCAGCAAATACGAGGCGAGTCTCGAAAACAGTACTTAAATCACAGTTCTGTTAGAAATGCAGAAGTTCAAGGACCCTAAACTCTTTATGCGTTGTTAATTAGGGCTGTGAATCAACAAAAAATATTAACATTTTTTCCATTAGAAATGTTTGTTTTTTATGTGAGGCTCTAATGCCTGTATCACAAGTATCACTAATATGCACCTACACCACAATCTTTGTTCACACCACTAGTGACATGATGCCAGTGTGTTAATTCTTAAACATTCCCCATCCCTGACAGTTAACCCTGCTGACAAATCCAGCATTGCTGGTCACCAGCATAAGTATGTTTGGCAGGCTGGGACCGGCTTGGAATGCTGGTGTGCTGGTGGATCTTTTGGGTGCTGGTATTATCCCAGCAAAACAACAACAAAACTCATGTATGCGTTACATATCATGTTTCTTAGTGTGTGTTCCTAGCTAAATAGAGGCCAATTATCCAATTAATTTTCCTAGCTAAATAGAGGCCAATTATCCAATTAATTTTAAGTAATTATTATAAGAAAAACACATGATGCAGGTTACAGCAAAACCTTCAGCGTTAAACACTGCTCAGTTTTTATATTTACATTTACATCAATTAATTTAGCAGACAGAAATGCAGAAGTTCAAGGACCCTAAACTATTTATGCGTTGTTAATTAGGGCTGTGAATCAACAAAAAATATTAACATTTTTCCATTAGAAATGTTTGTTTTTTATGTGAGGATCTAATGCCTGTATCACAGGTATCACTAATATGCACCTACACCACAATCTTTGTTCACCCCACTAGTGACATGATGCCAGTGTGTTAATTCTTAAACATTCCCCATCCCTGACAGTTAACCCTGCTGACAAATCCAGCATTGCTGGTCACCAGCATAAGTATGTTTGGCAGGCTGGGACCGGCTTGGAATGCTGGTGTGCTGGTGGATCTTTTGGGTGCTGGTATTATCCCAGCAAAACCACAACAAAACTCATGTATGCGTTACATATCATGTTTCTTAGTGTGTGTTCCTAGCTAAATAGAGGCCAATTATCCAATTCATTTTAAGTAATTATTATAAGAAAAACACATGATGCAGGTTACAGCAAAACCATCAGCGTTAAACACTGCTCAGTTTTTATATTTACATTTACATCAGTTAATTTAGCAGATGGTTTTATCCAAAGCAACTTACAATTGAGAAATACAATAAGCAATTCATCATAAAGAGGCAAATAAACGCAGGAAGTGCTTGCAATACAAAGTTTCAGGCATTGTTCAGAGTAATACAAGCTGAAGAGGGAGAGCTGGAGAGGTTAAGTAAAGAGAAAGCTTTTTTTTCAAGATGAAGTCAAATGATGATGGAAGAGATGCGTTTTCAGGTGTCAATTATCCAATTCATTTTAAGTAATTATTATAAGAAAAACACATGATGCAGGTTACAGCAAAACCATCAGCGTTAAACACTGCTCAGTTTTTATATTTACATTTACATCAGTTAATTTAGCAGATGGTTTTATCCAAAGCAACTTACAATTGAGAAATACAATAAGCAATTCATCATAAAGAGGCAAATAAACGCAGGAAGTGCTTGCAATACAAAGTTTCAGGCATTGTTCAGAGTAATACAAGCTGAAGAGGGAGAGCTGGAGAGGTTAAGTAAAGAGAAAGCTTTTTTTTTTTTTCAAGATGAAGTCAAATGATGATGGAAGAGATGCGTTTTCAGGTGTCGCTTGAAAATTGTCAGGGAATCAGCATTCCAGATAGAGGTGGGAAGTTCATTCCACCAGCCAGGAACGGTGAACGAAAACTTTTCTAGAAAGTGATGTTGTGCCTCTCTGTGATGGCACCACAAGGTGTCGCTCACTAGAAGATCTCAGACTTCTGGAGGGAAGGTAGATTCGTAGTGAGTGGAATTAGGCAGGTGCTGAGCCTGTGGCTGTTCTATATGCAAGCCTTCTTGAACTTGATGCGAGCTGGAACCGGGAGCCAGTGCAGGGAGATAAAGAGAGGTGTGACATGGGCCCTTTTTGCCCTTTTTGTTGAAGACCAGTCGTGCCACTGCATTCTGAATCATTTGTAAAGGTCTGAATGTGCATGATGGAAGTCCAGCCAGAAAAGCATTGCAGTAGTCCAGTCGAGAAATGACAAGGGCCTGGACAAGACGTTGTGCAGCATGCTCCGTTAGGAGGGGCCTGATCTTTCTGATGTTGTGCAATGCAAACCTGCAAGATCGAGCAGTTTTTGCAATTTGGTCATTGAAAGTCAGCTGGTCATCGAAGATTACACCAAGATTTTTTGTGTATATGGAGAAGAGGAGGGGTCCAAGAACTGATCCCTGAGGAACTCCAGTGACCAGCTGATGTGCTTTGGAAATCTCCCCTCCCCAGGCCACCTTGAAAGACCTACCAGTGAGATAGGATTCAAACCAGCAAAGTGGAATCCCTGTGATGCCCAGTGATGAGAGCGTGGACAGAAGAATCTGATGACTCGCAGTATCAAAGGTGGCAGATAGATCCAGTAGAATGAGAACTGATGATTTGGAATTAGCTTTCGCAATCCTCAAGGTTTCAGTGACTGACAGTAATGCAGTCTCAGTTGAAAGGCCACTGCTGAAACCTGATTGGTTAACGTCCATTTGGTTATTCTGTTAAATAAGTAATGATATAATTTAAGGGACATTTTTTTTTGGGTTTCCCCCCAGATTTTTCAGCCTAAAAGGGCTGAATTTGCTGTCTTTTCTCAAATTGTGATAATATTTGCAAGCATTTTTTTCACGGCCAGTATGTTACAGTGAAACACTTGAACATATATTAATTTATGGATTTTTATTAGCTAGTATTACTTTCCTCCTCTCAGATTACCATTCTTTTGCGGAACAATTGTGGAAATGCAAAAAACAAACAAAAAAAACAAGAATGCAAATAATGTGAAAATTAATTGATTCTGTAAATTCCTGTAGGGATTGGTTCAAATTTAATTTGAATTAAAGATTTTTTATTTTTTTATTTATTAAACCCAAAAATTAAAAGTGGGGTTACCCGAGCCTGCTTGAATGCAGTGGGGAAAGTGCCTGTGAGAAGAGATGTGTTGGTGAGAGTGCTTGGAGAAGGGGTAAGGGGATTGGGTCTAGAGGGCATGTTGTAGGATGGCTGGAGAGGATAAGTTTGGATACTTCTGCCTCAGTGAGGGGACAGAAGGAGAAGAGGGGAGTTTTAGCAGTAGATGTGGTTGGTTTGAGTTCCTGTGTGTGTGGAGCTGAGAACTGGCTGCTGATTTTTCTAGTTTTGTTTGTGAAGAATTTGGCAAAGTCATCGGCTGTTAAGGAGGTGGTGGGGCATGGTGGAGGGGGACAGAGGAGATAATTTAATGTTTTGAAGAGATTATGCATGTCAGATGCGCTGTTGATCTTGTTGTGGAAATATGAAGACTTGGCAGTATGGACTTCAGCAGAGAAAGATGAAAGCAAAGACTGATACGTACTCAGGTCTGATGGATCTTTTGATTTGCACCATTTTCTCTCTGCTGCCCTGAATTTGGACCGATGCTTACAAAGAACATCGGATAACCAGGGGTTAGAAGGGGCAGCCCGTGCTGGCCTGGAGGAGAGAGGACATATATTATCCAGACAAGAAGTTAAAGTGGAGCACAAAGTGTCAGTTGCTGTGTTCACATCAGGAGATGAGAAATGTGTGGGTGAGGGAAGAGAGGAGGACACTACAGAGGAAAGATGGGAGGGTGAAAGGGAACCAAGGTTTCGTCTAAAGGAAACTGGTAGAGGGGTTGGAGGCTCACAGGTAGCAAGATGTAAGTTAAATGTTATGAAGTAGTGGTCAGAGGTGTGTAGGAGTTTTACCAAAATGTTGTCTGCAACACAATTGCGTGTGGAAATTATGTCCAGTTGGTTGCCAGATTTGTGAGTGCTTGTGGTGGTAAGGCATGCAAAATATAAATGAAACCATGCAAAAGCAATGATGTTGCAATACATATTTTCCATGGCCATATTGACTAATTTATTTTCAACGCTGCTTTTATTTTCGTTTCAATCAAGAGTGAGCTTGCGATACTGACATATTATCACATTCCCACAAATTAATATATCGTGGCCATGACAAAACTAAACCAAAAACACTAAAGCTTCAGTTTTTGAATCTTACAGTGACAGTCATTTCTTAATTTATGTCAGGAGTTAAGTACATGAAAAAATAAGTCAATATTGATATGAAGCTTGAGTCTTAATGATTTATAGTTTATTAAGTTAATTACATTCTTTTACATTAAAACTAGCTGTAACAATGTATGTTTACTAATGTAAACAAAGAACGCTTCTGTGTGCTGGCATACTCCCACAGGTGAAGAGATTTTAAACAAACAGTGTTAATACACATTTAGTTAACAAAAGGAAACAATACACATTTTAATTAGGGCTGGGAAAATAAATCGATGCATCACGAATCGAGAAATGATTCAGCATCGATTCTGAGATTTTCCGAATGCATCACAAATCTTTCTCGAGTCGATTCTGAGCTTAGTTTTGAACAGCAGATGGCACTGCATGCTTTAGAAACAGCCATACTCTGCTTGTTTTCAAATCCTTGCACACACTTGAACATAAATAATCATTCATAAAATTTGAAAAGGTTGAAGCAGATTACAAGGGTGTTCACAGTGGGCTGTGTTTACGTTAATCTCGTGTCATAAAAGCATTCTAAGCCAAGGTGAAATTACATGACTCAGCCGAACGCACAAGCGCTCTTCAGCACTTCTTCGTGAGCATTTGAGTGTGTGGATAAAAACTAGATTAGAGCGCCATCTGCTGTTAAAATCTAAGCTTAGAATAGATTCCAAAGAGAACCGCGATGCATTCGGAAGATCTCAGAATCCATCCACGAAGTGATTCTGCATCGATTTATCGTCGCAGCCCTAATTTTAATCATTTTAAACCATTTAAACTTTAAAAAAGTTATATTAAAAATTGTCTTTGATCATCCAAGCTGTTTAATGGCAGTCAGCAGGTGTTGCAGTTCATCAGTCCAAAAGAAGTGAAATAAAGCACATCCATCCATAATAAAAAGTGCCTCACACGGCTCCGGGGGGTGGACAAAAGCCTCCTGTAGCGAATCGATGCGTTTTTGTAAGACAAAAAAAAAAACATCTCTCCGCTGCGCTTCCGCGTTCGTCACTTCTGAGCGGCGCATGCACAACGCCGACGTCCTACGTCATCCGCCCAGAGCTGCTTATGTGTACAACTGTTGTACGCAAGCTAGATTAAAGTGATTATTACGTTTTGAATATGGATAT